AACAGAGCAACTTCGGCCCGTAGTGGTTTCTGGACCATCCGGTATATTATTGAATCTGTTTAATCTCGTAAACATGTGGTTACTCAGTTTGTGCAATCAATAATGAACTATTTAATACTACAATCAGGATCTGGTAAATCTACGCTGTTAAAACGTCTTTTTCAAGACTATCCAAATAGATTCGGATTTAGTGTATCACGTGAGTTAATTCTGGAGAAGATACCTGTTTTTTTTTTTTTGTTATAATAATATTTTTTGTTTATACCGCTAGATACCACACGCTCACCTCGTCCTAATGAACAAAATGGTGTCCACTATCACTTTGTATCACGCGAAGAATTTGAAAAACTTATCACTCAAAATAAATTTATAGAATACACTGAATTTTCGAATAACTTGTACGGAACAAGCATCGATGCAGTGCGCGCTGTCGCAGATGAAGGAAAATGTTGTATTCTTGACATAGAATTGCAGGTAATCAATTAGATTGTATTTTCAAATAGTTTACATTATCAGCTTACCATTCCTGTATTTATATTTTAATAGGGCGTTAAATCTGTAAAAAAAACAAATCTTAATGCACGTTTCCTGTTCGTCGCACCGCCATCACTCCAGGTCCTCGAAGAACGTTTACGTAATCGTGGTACTGAGTCTGAAGATGCGATGCAAGCTCGTCTTAAAGCTGCAAAAGAAGAATTGGCTTACGCTGCAGAAGAGGGCTCTCACGATAAAGTTATTGTAAATGATGATTTAGACACAGCATATGAACAGTTTCGAAAATTCATTGTTGATTGCAATTGAATTTTTAAAAATCAATAGATCTATTTATTGCTATCAGGATATTTCTTAATACATAAAGATTATTTATAAATAACCATTGAAGAGTTTATAAAACATCTTAATAATTTTTATTTGATGCCCAATTTATGTTCCATTGCTGAATGCAAATCTACCATCTCAGTTGATAATTCTGGATCTGTTATTTGCAATAAAAACTGTCAAAATAATAATAATAATAATAATAATAATAATAATAATAATAATAATAATAATAATAAAAAATAAAGAAGACATGCCGTTCAAGAAATCTTCAAATTCAATCGTTTCATCTTTGCCCATCAAAATTTCTAATCCAAAATTAGATGATGGTAAACCCGGTAGACGTTGCACCTAAACAAATTGAAAAAAAGCAAATTACTCAAGGCACGATATGTAAAAATTGATAATATATATACACTGAAAAGTTGATATACCCTAGATACAATACTTCGTTCCATAAGATGTCTTATAGGTGCAGGAGTGCCATAGATTCTTCTTTGCATTGTAAATGTCAGATTTG